AATCCTAGGGGAGCCAAGCAACGGAAGTATGTGTAAGCTCAACGCCAAAGACTGAAAAAGTACTTGCTTTAAAGCCACAACAGGTGCCGCATCTCTTGCTTTGCATAGTTTCATTCAGACTTCTGTGAGACCTCACCAACATTCCGTGCGGGTTGACAATCTTCAAGTCCACTCCGATGCTTTTACTTAATAAGGAATTCGATTTAACTACACTTGAGTATCGCAGTCTCAAACTCACAAGCATACGGGCCACTATAGAAGTAAAATATGGTCTTGATTTTTCTTTTCATGCTTAGAAAATCCGCTATGGCCTAAATCCTTGGAACGATGTAGCGCTTTGAAACAAAAACTCCTCACAAAGACAGTGGATCACTATTTTTTCTCACCTTTCCTTTGCTAAATCCAGAGAGTAATAAAGTGCTACATCCCACTCTGTCATTTTGGAGGACACCAACTTTGTGACTACCAATGTAGGGGCGTCTCTACATTGTATTTGAGATCATGTATGTTGATCGAAATTTAAAATGATACAAATAGCTTCGACGTGGTGAAATACAAATAAGAGGTTGAGAAAACATGTCTACAAGGTTTTTTTGTAAAATATAAAAAACTATAAATAAAATAAATTTGCCAGTAATTATCATCGGGATGAAACACTCTCTGAATGGTCATTTTGCAAAAGAAATTTGAATATTCACATTGCAGGTGTCTAAAGACGATCGGAGAACTACCCCAGCCGTGCATGGTTGACAAAGCAGACAATTCTGCAGATAAAGATAGAAATGAGGTAGGTGGGAGGGCCGGGAGCATGGCGCAGGACAGTCTTTCATCCCATCAAATGCAGCATCAATTATCCAATAGTATTGCAAGGTCACTAAGGTACTGATATGCCTATGTGGCTATAGTATTCAGGGAGTGAATTTCGGCAACAGTGGCATGATGATTCATTCAGGCAGCGAATAAGATGAACGCTATACCTTCACTGACACAATGTCAATCAATACTAGTAATGGTCAATTTTGAGGTTTGATTATGTCGATCTCGGGGATACAATATTGGATTATTCTTATCTTGTTTCTCTGACTTTATTTGATTGAAGCACAAGGGGTGGATACTTTGCTAAACAAACTCGTAAATGTTAGTGTCTTCAGTCTTGGAGGTTATTTTTCAAGTCTCCAAGTAAGGGTAAGATATTTGAATATTGGGGCGGGGGAAGTGTGTATATCCAATTGATAGTCAATTTTGCACCTCAAGGACTTCTCATACCGAATCCTTGTTCTAGAAAAATTGTCAGCATACTCCTTTTTTATTGGTGGACAATCCAAATTCATTTGTATAGACTTAAGCCACCATTGTGGAACTAGAACATTGTTGTCACGCACAGATCAACTCCAGCATTTGGTGGATGATTTTGTAATTTCCCCTGGTCCACGTTTGTATTTATAAACTTTGAGCTACACCCAGAGAGTCAAGTTGTACCACCAACATTTGCAAAGGAATCGTAGTCCTGCTGAACACACTAAGAGGGAAGAAGAATACAAAAAAAAATGTATATAAGTACGAAAGTCTATTTATATTTATACGTGCATGTATATCAACATTCATACTCATATATACATGTGCATCTATAACTTAAATCTATTGAAAGGTTTATGTTTTAGATAAAGTAAGAAGGAAGGATCATAAGAAAACCAAACCGAAAGTCCAAACCCAAAGTTAGACAAGTTTTTGAATCCCATGTAGGTTCAATGCCAAGTTCAGAACAGCTTTTGCTTTACAGCCTCAACGTTTTCGAAATCTCGACTCGGACTAAATACCCGGGCAGATAATTTTTCACTGACACCTTAGGCCGAATTTCGTTTTCTGAGGTCTGATTAATTTGTTCTCTTGTTAGTCTAGAGAAGAGCTTGTCCATGCCCTGAACACGATGAAAGTAGAGACTCTGCACAAAAGAAGGGTTCTCATGAGCGAAGGTCTTCAGCAAAAATACTACATAAAAAAATAAGATAAAAATACTAGGGATCGGTTTAAAATAGAAATGATGTTGCATTTCATTCCCCACCACCACCACCACAAATGTCGATCTCTGTTAGGGACAATCTGACTGACTCCTGAAATTGAAGGAAACTTGAGTGTGAACAAGTCCATATTATTCACCGAAACCCGCTATCCGATCCTCAATCCCTTCAAGAAAAGATGTGGAGCTCATCCATCAATAATGAGTCTCACAAAACTGAGACATTCTTTCCGTGCCTTTCATTTGCTTCTGTGCATCAATGTGGAAGGCAACTGTTTGCAGCCAAGTCACCACAAAATCCCGCATGAATTGCTGCTTAATTCGCACTCAAAACCACCGTCCCCCCGCGTTGCTAATCACGAGTGGCAATCACAGAAGGGACACTTAATTGAGGCCCAACTGTGATAAGTGGCACTGCATTAACGCCCTATAAAACTGGGGTTCTTCCCTCTCTCTCATTCCTTGGTGTCGAAGGAGAACGACTCGACCACCTCAGTGGTTAATGCGGTAGACCAATGTGCGACTCGAATGTGATTCTGGTTTGATATAGTTCCGAAGCGACCATATTAAATATAGCCTTGCTGGTGCAGTTGGAAAGCCACGCAACCCAATAGTAGGGTCGGACATAGTTCGATGGCTCGGATTTGATAGCTCTACTGAATCTAAATTTGGGTTAGCAGCGGCAGTAGGAGTGCATGTAGGGAGTATCTATGACTGCCACCCACTTCTTAACAAAATACATTCCTAGAATTTTGTGCTGGTTCAGTGCCTCTAGCTCACTAAGTAAACCCTGCCAGTGCTTATTTCGGCGAACTGTGGAAGCAGTTTGACTGCATCATTCTCGTTTTCTGCCTAATTCTCAGCGTAAAAGATGCCACTCAGTCGAGAGGGAGGCGCTAGAGGTCGACGCAGTCGCAGCGACCAGCCTAGTCACAACCAACACGGATGAAGCCAAACAAACCCCTCAGCTCATCATGGAGTTCATCAGCGGCGACAGTGCCCTAGTTTCGTGATCACGACTCGATTACGTATCCTCTGTTTGGGGTCAAGTCCTTTAACTCTTTCGTTGCAGTGGTTTTGGTTTCTTTTCCCACTCATCTTTTTTTTGGAGACGTTGTCGACGAATCCAAAAGAGCTTGTCCTGCGAAGCTCCCCAGATGCATCCTCCGCCAGGGGCGATTTACAATTGCCGCATTGCAGAGAAAAGAAATGACACAACGGGGGAGTGTCAGGTCCATCGCTGGGAGTTCCTATTGCGTCTCCTGAGGTGGACAAGGGAGCACCGGTACAGAGCTGGCATCGGCACGGGCGTCGCCAGGCGTAACGCACAAAACGTGCCGGTCAGTGCTCCTCCATGTCCACCATTGCAAGGACCGTCAGATTCCTGCTGTGCCTGCTGCCATTCCTTGCAACTGGACCATGGTTTGTGTGTCGCCGATGCGGTGCGGGTGGGTGTGCAGGCTCCACACTGCAACTACTGGACGTCGCTGAAAGACTACAACGCCGCAAGTGTTTAACTGATTTTCTGATAGCCTGGAACTGTTTCCTGATAGTGTGGACCTTATTCCAGTTTGTGGGTTTCCTTGTCGTTTTGTTTCCTGCTTGTTCCTGTTGTGACTTTGTGAGGTTAAATAAACGAGATTTAAAAGTATATGTATAAAGGAAGGAAGGAAGGAAGGAAGGAAGGAAGGAGAGTTTGTTATTGTATAGTTGCGAGGTATTTATTTCTTTGAATTCAGGTTATTTTAAAAAGAACGAATATATAAATGTACATATACAAATTACAATATGCGTGGATTTAAACAAGAAGATGTCATAATTTTTTATTATTTTCATTTATATTTTAATGAAGTTTATAATGTTGTCTTTGATAGCAGAAAGTAGTAGTGATTATGGTGCTATTAATTATAAATTATACTTTGATGTAATTGTGAAAATGGTTATTATTGTTTGAGAGATGGAGTTTGTACGATTTTCTCCAAAATGAATTGATTTTTATAAGGAAAATTTTCCACTTTAAATGAAGACAAATCATTAAAAAAAAAAAAAAAAAAAAAAAAAAAAAAACACAACAACAACAACAACAAAACTAAACAAAACAAAAACAATAGCAACAAGTAAGGACAATGGCAATAAGAACTGAAAATTCCATACAAACCTCAGTTTAACTCGTTAATATGACTCATAGGAGTTTGAAGTGAAGTTTACGAACTCTCGTCAACAATAATTGCAATAATGCCTTCATTATACAAAATCCAAAAATCTTCAATGCATTCATGACACTATCCCTCAAAAATTAACAACGGCTGCCCTGTCATTTGCTTTAATTGACACTATCTAACTTGAAAATAAAATCAAACCATCGAACCAATCAACAACTGAACCAATCCACGGAACAATATCAAGCGTAGAAAATCAAACTCTACAATACTACACTTTTACTTTATTCACTTTATTTACACTCCCCCCTTTCTCCAATTAAAAAATAGAAAAGGCACATGTAAACAAAAAACAAATAAATCAATGAGCATTTAAAGAGCCATCTTTTGCCGATTTAAAGTTACGAACCAGTAAAAAGTCACTTACTAGAAAAAGCCACAAAACACGAAAAAAGTAGTACGACGCTAGGGAAAAAAAATGTAATTCTGGCTGCGCCGTCCGGGTGTGAACAGGTCATCAGGGGACGATGAGACGGGCTGAGGATTTTACCGGGGACAGATTAGGACGAAGCAGCGGCCCGTCAAATTGCGGGGGACCTGGAGCCTGGCCTCTGACAGCAGCAGCGGAGGAGGCTCGTGAGCCTCCTGTAACGCGATTGCGGTTGATTGAACCTCCTGGGGCGAGGAAGCGCGAGACGCATTGAATGCGCTTGATGGTCGCGCTTGTCTGCCCAACAATTTGCAGCCACTGGTGGGTCCACGCCGAGTGCTCATGATAAGGAGGCCCCATGTGGCTCCCAAAATAGCAATCTAGATTCCATCGTTGCTCGCACTCGGCGAGTACTTCACCACCCTGGTCTCATGCTCTTATTCACCCTTTCCACCAGTCCTCCTCTACTGGAGCTTGTAGCTGGTGCTTGACCCAAGGTGGCGATCAAAAGCCTCTGAGAGTACCGCTGAAATTTTGGTTTTTATAAGTGTCGAGGTTGGATTGCACAGTGAGTTGGTATTTCCTGCAAATTCTCGGAGGTTAGCACTTCAGTGCAGTGGTCTCATGTACACGAGGTTGCAGGTGTTGAGGGGTGCTAGCAAGTCTAGGGGAGGACCGCTGTTGGAGAGCGGGGACAGATTGATAGATAGGTGGGCGAGAGAGAGCGGACATAGGGTGAAGCTTGTGGCTTGATTGGAGAAGAACGCGTAAAGATGTCGCCCTGGGGAAGGGGTACAGGGGTGGATTCGAGAGTGGGAAGTTTCTCCAAGCGGCGGTGGAAGAGCCAATCTCCAGTTCCAGAGAGCCCCACTACGGTGCTGTCTGCGGAAAGCTCCGCGGAGTCGAGCTCCAACACGAGCTCTGACTCAGAGGTCGTCTCGGTGAACAGGGTTGTGCAGCCCCCGGCATGCTGCTTCCAGCCTATCAATACCAATACCTGGACAGTTTCCACGGACAGGCCGAGTGACTTAGTTGTGGAGGTTAATAAGATCAGCTTTCATCTTCACAAGGTATGCAGGCGCATTCTCGGCATTCTCAGAGAAATTTACACATGGCAGTGCAGTGTGGCGATCTTTTTTAGTTAGCACTCGTGATTACGAACAGTGAAGTCGATCATCTGATCGATGGTGTTGTTATGTTATCTGCAGCATCCTATTCTGACGAGGAGCGCGCTGTTGAGGAAGCTGGCTGTGAAATCTGAAAAGTCGGAGACGGCGCACATGAACATAGGGTCGATTATTGGGGGCCCCGAGGCGTTTGCCCTCGTTACGAAGCTATGCTATGGCATTGACGTGGAGCTCTCGTCCTCGAATGTTGCGGGTCTTCGGTGCGCTGCAGAGTATCTCGAGGTGACGGAAGAATTGGATGGGGGCAACGTGAATAACAAAGCGGAGGCCTACCTCAACTCCGTGGTTCTGAATTCATGGGACGAGTCTCTTGCCGTACTACAGACTTGCGAGCATCTACTGCCCTTGGCTGAGGAGCTACAGATTGTGCAAAGGTGTAGCGAATCGCTCGCTCGCAAGGCATGTCTGGAGCCTCACAACGTGAGATGGTTGTCTTCAAGCTCCGTTGCAAACTTGAGGAAGGCGCAAAACCTGAAGTCAGCTGTGACACAGAATTGGTGGTTTGAGGATGTTTCCTCCCTATCCCTCTACTGCTTTGAGAAAGTCATCTCGTCAATGCATACGAATCTTGTGAATGGCACCCTCATCAGCGGCGCCTTGGAGTTCTACGCCCAGAAATGGCTCGCTGGAGTGTTTAAGTCGTCCGCCGAAAACTCTCCGAAGGATTCCCCCCGTGTATCCGGAAGTCGATTGAGCTCACCCACCGGAGAAGCATCCCCTGTTCACGATTTTCCGTCCCCGAGTAGAGAGTCCCCTGCCGTGGCGCGTTCTGTGAAAGAAATAAGTACACCCGAGAGCAACGCGAGATTACACAACGCCATTGTGGAGCAGAACAGGAGCCGTTTCATCATCGAGAAGATCGTCAGCTTGCTACCCCATGAGAGGGACTCAGTGGAGTGCAGCTTTGTTCTTCGAATGCTGCGCGCGGCCAACATGTACAACTGCTCGGCCGAATGTCGAGCGGAACTCGAGATGAAGGCGGGGCAGCAGCTGGATCGAGCCAGCTTGAGTGACTTACTCATCCCATCTTTTTCTCATACCAGCGAGTATCTTTACGACGTCGACCTCGTGCGCCGGCTCTTGGAGCATTTCTTGTCGCAGGAGCAAGGTCTGGGGTCGGGGCTCAAGAACAAATTTTTTAATCGGAAGATCTTCGGGTCTCTGTTCGTGAGCGCCCCAGCGAGGCAGCATGCTCAGGCTGCCGCTCCTAGTGCAAGTTCGAAGCTGGTCACCAAGCTCATGGACTCCTACCTGGCCGAGGTGGCTCGCGACAGCAAGCTGCCGTTGGCGAAGTTCCTTTCGCTTGCTGAAGCTGTACCGATTTCGATGAGAATGTCGGACGATGGACTTTACAGAGCAATTGATACATATCTCAAGGTTGGTAGCAATGCTTTCGATTCTCGTCTGCCTGTGGCACTTGTTGTATGTTGACTCTTCATGTTTGTTTTCGTATTGGTCCTGATATTCTGGTTGTATAAATCCATTAACCCTCTGCATGTAAATATGATTCCAGATACACTCGAATGTGGGGGAGCACGAGAAAAAGAAACTATGCCGGATGTTGGACTGCCAGCGCTTATCCATCTCGGCTTGCATGCACGCTGCTCAGAACGAACGCCTCCCTCTCCGCATTGTTGTCCAGGTCCTGTTTGGCGAACAGCTCAAGCTGAGGGGAGCCATAACCGGAATAAGTCAATCACTTCAGGAGGGTCGTGTTGGCGGCCAATCTCGACTCCCTTTGCACGACGATTCCACCGATTCAATAGGAACCCAAGCAGCGATGCTGGAGACGACAAATCAAATGGAGATTCGAGCGCTACAGCATGAGCTTTCCACCATGAGGCTCAAATACTCGGAGCTGGAGAGAAACCACTCGGCTTTGATGGAAATGATGGAGAAGCTGACTGCGTCGAGGCCGAGGAGAAATTCAAGCTCAGCGTGGACTCCTTGGAAGAAACCTAGCAAAGGAGACCGATGCCAGGAATCCCCAAGCAAAGCTGACCTCGACTCCTCCACAACTTCGCAGTCCACCAGCAACCACAGATGGCGGAATTCCATATCGTAATCTTACCCCCGAAACGTCATTGAGTCCCCTATCTGCGAATTATCTTTCCAACAGTAGTTCATCGATTCTTTTATAGGTCTGTTCATATTGTACTCTGGATCATACACTCAATACTCAGGTAACGTTAGTAGCAAAGTGGCGAATCCAAAGCCCTAGCACACACGGTTGCGGGACGGCGAGACAGCGAGACGAGTCTTGTAATGCATTCCATACCACAGTGAGTAGTAGAGTGGCCACAGTCAAGGCGTGGGGTGAATGCCCTTGTATATACTTGTACTTTTAAGCTCTGACGACGGCATGGGCTAAATTGCTCGCTGTTCCATCAACCAAGAGTTGATTTTTTGTTTTCTCAGCTCTTGTCTGTCTCGATCTGTGTGGTTGGTTTCATGGCTAGTCATAGACCCAGACGTGCATCTAGAGAAAAGCCTGCTTGGGTTGCTGAGCAACTCGGTTACACTCTATGCATATCGAATCCGAATATTCCATCTCTCATGGCCACTCAGCTGTGAACATGAAGAAACGCCGCACCGCAGTGTTTTGCTTCTCAAACTATCCGGCTTCGAGCTCAACCCTGTTATGTCAGATGGAACCTAGGCGATATCGATACAATACTCTGTGAACAGACTTGCCAACTGAGACAAAATTGCTGCCACACATTGCAGTATTCTTAAAGGCAAGCTTTGAAGTTGTGTGTATCAGTCGGTGTATTTCAACGACGAAGTATGTGCGAAACCCCCTGCAGTTTGTAACGACTGTGACCATTGCTTCTAAGTCGTGGCAACACTAGAATGTCTACGGTTGACATGAGCACAGTACCACATTGACCCTTGAAAAAACCCTATTATTTGAGCCTGTGGAATAAGCTTTGTCCGAAGGTGAAACTGCAAGACAGTTTGTATGGGTCATTAAGACACTTACAGGAATGTAATGTTATATTCTAATATCATTCTAATTTATTCATATTTATTATATGCAACATGCAATATTTTTCTAATGATGAATTAGAATAATATTAGAATTTATTTTACTTTTTATACTTGTTTATTTTCATTGAAAAAAACATATTTGGTCATGAACATTAAAAGAAGTTTTAAAAATTGAATTAGCTTCATATTTGCAATGCTTTAAATGTTATTAGTAATTTAAAATTATAAAAGAATAAAAAATAAAAAATAAAAAAATGTTTGGAGATTTGGATAACATTTTTTTAAAGAAAATAAAATTTTATTTATATATAAATAATAAATTTAGCTATATTTTTAATACAAATTACAACTAATCTATAGTAACAAACTTAAACATAATTTAGAAGTACTAAATAAATGAGAATATTAAATCAATTTAGATAAATCTTAAATTGATCAACCTTTGTTTTTATTGTCTAGTACCACATCTTAACTATTGTGTCTATTTAATGCTCTCCAACATTTTACTTTCTTTGATATGCCACACATACACAAACACCAAAAAAAAAAAAAAAAAAAAAAAAAAAATCTTAATTAATTTAGCTACTCAATGTACACACATTAGGCACATATAATATATTGTGAATTAAGAAAAGAACTCTAAAGATGTAATAATAAGAGATTGGTGAGAGAGAATGACTTTCTTTAAATTGGTAAGAAGTATATGATGTAGTATAAGGGAATAAAAACAAAGGTGGATTAATTTAATATTTATGTAGATTGATTTAATATTTTCTACATAAATATTTTACAAAATTTATAATTTAGTTAATAATTATAGTTTTTAATATTAATAAAATTTAATTTTTAAAAAATAAATTATTATATTATATTTATAATTAAATTATATTTTATATGTATTTATTTTTTATAAAATATTACGTTCGGATAATACTTGATAACAAATCAACTTTCAGGTTACAAACTTGATATATATAAATATAGCCTTATTAATTAATACCTCTTCATCAATATTTCTTGCTTATTTGATAATATTTGTTGAAACAAAGATAATTCCTAAGTCATATACTTATATATCTTAATTAGTATTTCATGCATAATTTATAAAATTTATATCTATCAAGTTTATAAATTATTTCAAGTTTATTAGTGTGAGTGTATATATCACAGACATATTGTAGAATAGGTAAATAAACTTTGTGGTAAGTTACTGGTTGGTTATTGATAACTTTGAGAATTAGACTGATGGTTAGGCAGTTTAGTTGTTAACAATAGGTTGTTAGTGGAATAAATGGTTAAGAATTCAAAGGGTCATAACCTTTGGAATCCGCTAGCAGACGAATCATCTTTTTGGTAGGATAAATAGCTTGAGGAAAGAGTGATCAGAGCCAGACTGTGAGAGTTATAAGCCGAGAGTCAGACTATGAGAGTCATAAGCCGAGGACCAGACTGTGAGAGTCGTAAGCCGAGGGCCAGACTGTGAAAGTCATAAGCCGAGAACTAGACTGTGAGAGTCGTAAGCCGAGAGCCAAACTGTGAGAGTCATAAGCCAGGATAAGCTTGGTGCTACCACTTTATTTTCTTTACTTTTATTATTTGCTTATGAAGAATTATGATTGAGAGAAGTATTGTTGAATTGATAGTCGTAGAATGGATTATGTGTTGAATCAAGACGAAAGAAGTAAGCCTTGGTGTTTTGTAGTTTGATAATTGATTTCAGATAGCCAAAGTATAGTCAATTGTGACACTAACAAACCCAATTTATACAACCAGTCTTTCCTCGTGTTCAAACTGACCTCTATTAGTTCAATTGCTTTGGTATACTGAAGCTTGGACACAATGAGAACAATATATACACATGTAAGCCAATAATTATATATATAAATATGTAGAGGTAAATAAAAATATGTAAAAGTAACTTAATTCTATAGTATTTGGTATGAAAGCTTCCTAGAAGCTTCATAGACGCTGCTTTGACTTTATAGGTGTCTTTAATTGACTTTTTGGAATTAGAAACGTGGTCAATAAGTTGGCCATGTGTCACACATGTTGTTAGCTTAAAGACCAAGCTAACTATGTAACCCACACATAGAAAAAATTGCTTTATAAGTCAAGGCATGTGTCCTACAAAATCAACACATATTAGAGGTCCTATAGAACATCGCCACATAGCCCCTAGTTAGATAGTATATATATAGAGACAAGAGTGAAGCCTTCTTCACTCTTGTCAACTCCTTTCTTGCTTCCAATCTAATTTCAAGGGTTTCTAGTTTTCTTGGCTTTTGGCAATAGCCATTCCAGTTTCTTTCTTAATATATATATCAAGTTATTTCTATATTGTCATCTTTCTATGAGAGAAGTCTTACTTGTTTATTTGTCTTTATCATATTCTTGTCCTTGATAGATTGACAAGAATGTACTTATAATATCAAAGCTTTATCTAATCTTGTTTAGGAGTGGATTACTCTTTTTTCTTGATAAGACATAAGCATATTAGAAGTTGCGGATTACCCTCTTCTAAACTAATATTGTCCTTAGTATTTTCTTTGTTCTCAAATCCTCTCTTCTATTTTTCTTGAACGATATTAGACATCTTGTCTTTTCTAAGTATTATCATAGCAGAACTTGTTGAAATAAAGAGTGCAATGGCACAAATGGAAGAGCAATTCAAAGAATTAATGCTTGCAATGCATCAACTCAATTTACCACCAAAAGAAGCAACAAGATTGATAAGAAGTGAAGATATAGAAATGATTGGAGCTGCTTCAACATCTGCACCAAATCATGTCTCTTCTCCTATGGTGGAACATCCTTCCAATGTTAGAAAACCAAGAATTGCCCTACCCGAGAAGTTTGTGGGCACCAGATCAAAGTTTAGAGGATTAATCAATCAAGTACAACTTGTCATTGAACTTCAACCCCAAAGCTATCCAACTCAAAGATTGCAAATTGAATTCATTTGTACGCTTTTTTCACGTTCAACATTATCATGGTTTTCATCTTTTTTTGAACGACGAGATCCAAAATTGCATAATCTAAAGGCTTTTTTGGCAGAGTTTCGATCCATGTATGGAGAACATGATGTAATTTGTGTTACAACCAATAAGATCCATATTTTATGACAAGACAATTAATCACTAACGTTGTATGCTTTACAATTTCGACAACTTGTAACTAATATCAAGTGAGATGATGCTGCAGTTATTAGCCAATTTTTCTATGGATTACAATATGAGGTAAAAAAATTAATGCTCAACTTACTTGATTCTCAAACATTGAGTCAAGCAATTGACTTTGCTGTGAAGTGCGACAATCACCTTTTTGAATTCCAATCTAAGAATCATACAAGTGGACCTCAATGTAACTATAATTCAATATCAATACCAACATCTCTTCAACACATACATTCGGAAGTAGAAGATATGTAAATTGATGCAGTATGTTTCAAATCTCTTACTAAGCAAGAAAAGACTCGTTGTCGTCAAGAAGGATTGTGCTTATATTGTGGAGAACCTAAGCACACTGCTCAATATTTTTCAAAGAACCAACGTAACCATAGAATGAGGAGTACTACGATCAAAGGAGATAGCATGTCGGAAAACGAATTTGTCCAGCTACAATAGGGACCGTGTGGCTAGAACCTTGTACAACGCCTAGTAAATGTCCTATCGTCTCCTCAGAACCTTGTCCATGTTTTACGATAAATATTATTGTAGGACCTAAACATCTCAAAGCCTCTACCTTGCTAGATTCAGGAGCCTCAGCATGTTTCTTAGATGAAAAATTTGCTAAAAGATATAGCATATTTTTAGTAAAGAAAACTAAACCTGTTCATGTAGAAGTCATAGATAGTCATCCGTTGTCTTCAGAAGATGTTACTCATGAAATCCTTCCTATAGAAATAGCAACTAATGGTTTTAGTAGTCTTATAATATTTAATATCATTAGATCTCCTTCTAATTCAGTCATTTTAGGTTTATCATGGCTAAAAAAATATAACCCTAAAATAAATTGGACTTCTGATAGTCTTGACTTTTTTGAAAGTATAACTAAGAGTGTAGTTAATCAAGTAGAAAGTCATAAATCTAGTATAATTAAACCTATATTTGTAGGTGCAAGTGCTTTCTTGCATGGTGCAAAAGAAAGATCACCTTGTGTCATTTATGCCATACCTGTTTTTACTAGTGGAAAGACTTCAAGTAGCATTCCAAGCCAATATCAAGATTTTCAAGATGTATATGAAAAAAAGAATGAGAATACTCTTCTAGAACATCGTTCTTATGAGTGCTCAATTGACCTTCAAGAAGAAGCATAAGTGCCATTTGGACCAATCTACAATTTATCTCAAAATGAGTTAGCTGAACTCAAGGAGTATATTCAAGAGAATTTGGCTAAGAACTTTATATACCATTCTAAATATCCAATA